AATTTAATTTTAATTCAATAAGCGTTGGTATCGGTATCGACGATATTCCTATAAGTGTATCGGCATCGGTATCGTATCGGCAAAAAAGCGTATCGATGCATCCCTAATTTAAATATAACTGTCATAGGTAAAATTCCTAATTATACATATTAATATACTGTTATACTTATTCGCATGCAATAAGCACGTGAAGTACATGTAAAATATTTTCAATTATTCTAACCTTTTGAAGCTGAAATAATTTTTTCAACACTTTGAGGCGTCACTTTCAAGAGCATTTTAGGACCGGGTGACTTCTGTACATCAATCTTTGACAGCTTATTATAGAGATCAAACATGACTTCCTTTTGTGATTTATTTATCATATAGTCATATGTCTGGAGGCAAGAGTCATCATCAGCGTGGTAAAGACAGCCTGGACTGAGTTGAACATCATCAGGATGGAACACACTGTCAAAGAAAATTTTGTTTAAATAAAGAACTTTTGTGTACTTTTGATTTGACAAAAGGTTAAATTTTTCTTAGAGAGTGCACTTTTTAAAACTGGAATATTTATTTTTTCATGCAAGTGGCAACCCTGAAATTTGACACCTGTCGGCTGTTTATTCCCCTTTATTAAAAATGGAGCGCTTTTCGAAAGAACAACGCGTTATAACTGTGAAAACTCATTACAAAAATGGAGAAAGTTACGCTGAAACCGCTCGCAAACTTCGCCAAATTTTCAGACGAGAAAGTGCACCTAATGTGTCAACCATTCGAAGAGTTGTCAAAAAATTTGAAGAAACTGGGTCAATTATGGATAATCAGAATCCTTTGCGTCAACGTACCGGTCGGTCTCTTGAAAACATTGCTGCTGTAAACGAGAGTGTCGCCGAAAACACGAAAACATCAATTCGACATCGTTCTCAACAAGTTCAAATTTCACGAAGCACTACGCAGCGAATTTTGACTAAAGACCTTCCACCTTCATGCGTACAAGATTCAGTTAACTCAGAAGCTCAAACCAGCAAACCAGAAAGGCAGAATGGAGCAAAGTGAAGTCGATGCCAATTTGACGAAAAGTCATTTTCTCCGATAGAGCGCATTACCATATGAATGGCTTCGCGAATACACAAAATTATCGAACTTGAGACTCAGAAAATCCTCATGCAATCCATGAGAAACAAATGCACCCACAACGAGTAACTGTCTGGTGCGGATTTTGGTCGGGCGGAGTGATTGGACCTGACTTTTTGAAAATAGGCTGTTAATTGAACGGCTAAATAAGCTAGTGGGCTGCGACATACACACTAACAAATCAGACAAGTAATTAATATTAATAAAACTTACGCATTAGCTACACATAATGGTGACATATCCACAGCAATTTCATTACATTGCCCTGGGAACTTTGGTAAAACTCCCATCATTTTGTCTAGGACAGACTCAACAGAATGACTAGTCACACCGCAGAGATCAAATGTTCTGTCAACAATGACCAATGACACTGGAGTAGAACAATTCTGTAAAAAAAATTTAGATGTTGAGGCATTGTGGTTTTTATACTATAATAATACAAAAAAATCTAGATCAAATTATTTATTTGATTCAATACATTTTATTACGGCCAATTAACTAAACTGTGCCATGTTGGCCTAGTAGATTCAGCTTGCAACTGTCATCATTCAAGTTATTGGTTCAATATCCAGCTATTTAGACTTTCACATTTAACACTTGCTTGTACAGTGAGGGCAAACGGTGTGTGTTGAGGAAACTGATCACCTACTTGCCTATTAGAAAAATATAATAATAATATTGATAACAAAACAGCTGTAAAAACGTTTGTAAAGCCACTGTTTTTTTTAATTAACTAAAGATAAATAAATCTTTACTAGCATAATACAATACAATAATATATAATATTTATAAGTCACAAAAATAAAAATTGGATGACAAGCATTGAAAAATATTGTTACCTTCTTTCTAGCCACACAAACAGGCGAATTCTCTAAAACCCCAGCAAGAAGTGAACTATATTGGCCAATATAATAAATATCTTCTTTAAAATTCATGGAGTCCAACATACTGTTTAAACTACCAGCTAATCGCCGGAGCATAGATCTTTCATGATTTGTTAAAGTATAGAGATCAATCGAAGTGGAATCTGGGATCAACTTGCCATTATATTGTGGTGTTACATTTTGATACGGAGGAGTCAGAAATAACACATTTGTTGGTGATATAGTGAATATTGGAATGTAAACAACCTCCACTGCACATGGCTGTAAAAAGAAGAATACTTTGGGTAGTTATTTATACCTTTTAACAGATTTTGTTATAACTGTCAAAGTAAATTTTATGGTTCTTGTGATTTTTTTCTGAATATTTATTCTGTATGGGTGTGATAATTAACTCTTGTTCATATTTATACAAATCTAAATCTTTAGATTTTCGAGACTTAGAGGGACGGAAAAAGGAAGATATGTTAGGAATTTAATAAATTTAATTGTCATTAAAATATTAAGTGTCGAAAATTAATACAAATATTAAATATTATTTTAAATTTACAATAAAAACATGTGGCATTTTAATTTACAATTCGTCATTTGAGATTTCAATAAATTATTTTGCATAAAATATAAAATACTAATATTTCATAAATTCTCTTTACAAAATTTTAATTTTAAAAACAGAATCTATTATAGGTAATTCACCCTTCTCACTCTCTCTCAATCGGTCTCAATTGCTCTATTAGCAGAATATTCATATCAAAATGTTTAACAATGGAATCTCCTAATTGGGTTCTTATAAAACTATCTTAACGATTCTAAAAATTATGTGAGGTTTCAAAATTTTACATGTACGAGAAGCTTTTATTTAAAAGTATTAAAAGGTTTTAAACTTTTAAAAAACCGCTATATGATAGAAATTTTGTTTTATGTTTACTAATGTCCATCATGGCATCAATATTTCAGTCAAATGGCTTGATAATTCAATTTAGTTGATATTACCTGTTTATTAATCCATCCTGTTAACATCCCTTCTAGCTGCTTAGTAGCTTCCAAAGCAGCTTTCCCAGATGTCACTACATCTGTCACATCTTTGTCTTTATTCAACTCCAAGTATAACACATCTAAACTAATGCAGGATATCAATATGGAATGAGTTAAGTCGCTGTTATGTATTATTTCTTTTATGGTTTGTAGTTGAGTGCTGGTTGACTGTGTTATGAAAACAGCCTTACGTTGGTCTTTTTCGCAAACCTGTGAAATATTTAAGTATATGTATACACAACCAAGTGTCATTTAGGGGTACATTGAAGACTTGCATGAGATAGAGACCTCAAATGGAGATAAACTTTTGACCGCTACTGCACCGCCGTGTAATAGGTTAAATAGCCCACCGTCCCAGTGTAAGCATTCTGAGCTATAATCGTCAATAAATACTACTGCGCCAATTATACGATTATACACTTCAGCCCACCAGGCTTTACCAAATTCTTTGACTGAGGTGGCCATTTTTATAAATCTATAGATATTTAATTGATTAGAAATTACATCGTATAAATGGACTCCCTCGAATTCTATTTTCACGAAAACTTAAATATATAGGTAAAGTATAAATAGGTATATATGATTTTACAAAGACTACGTTTACGTATATATTACGTTCTTAAATGACCATAGAGTACCTTAGTAATTTGTATTAGTAGAAACTGATAGACTATATAACAGATCATTAAATTGTGGTAAATTGCCAATATTTATTGCATATATATATATATTTTGTTGAATAGATGAAAAAGTAATGATTAACATGATACAACAACTGAAGCTCTGCGGCCACTACGCAAATTAGTAATAGCGCCATCTATCAGACAATAGAAGTAATATAAATTTTTGTCTGTCTACTCAGTTCCGCTATTCGCCACAGACCAGTACTAAGCTCCATTAGCATAAAAACAGATTTTTTGTTCAGTAACGAACAACTTTAATGAAACGATGAAAATAAAACCATTATCAACAATATAAAATTTATTCAGATGATGTCTATACTTTATAGTTTGAGAAAGGCACAAAATGAACGATAGTTTATTTCATAAATATGTATTTTATTTCATGTAGGGGAATATTTATCACAAACAATATTGTGTCGTTGAAAGAATATATACGGAGAAATAGGAAAGACGTTTTAATTTTGCATACACTTATTATTCATTGAATACTGTAGAGTAAAACATTACATATGTACTATGTTTATAACATATAACATACACCTAATATCAAGAATACATTTATTTACTTATCACACAGGGAATGTTCTCAACATACTTATAGCTACTTAATAAATTATCTTTATTAACAACAAAGCTAAATACAGAAAATATGTTTTGTCAGTTTATACCTTCTTTGTGCCATATTCTCTTCAACCAATAACCGTTTCATGAAATGATTAAAATATGGTTTTATGATTTTAAAATAAATAGTAGATTTTAAAGCTTTTTATTCTAGTGAATGAGAATTTTTTAATCTACGTGGCTTTGTAATTGATCTCAGATCATATTTTTATAATAAATATTTTTTTTTATAAAATTTAAACTAGAAGAAATATATATTATTAGTAAACATTTGTATTTGACTCATTTAAATACGAAATAATGTTTCAAAATTTTAGGTTCCGAATTTCGGGATTTTCGATCTGGATGGATGGATGATGTTTCGGGTGGTGGCTGTTGCATTAATATTTTCCTAATATTTCTCTTATCCGCAAATATTAGGGAATCAACTTGAAGAAAAAATAATACGTAAGACTAACAAAGTCGCAAAGTGAATAATTATAATACTAGTAGTAAAGGACATTTTGACAAGATGCGACAAATATTAATCTAGTTTAGGTTTATTGGTTTATATAATAAATTATTTTATTTTCACTGCACTCTCGAAACAAATATTTCAAGACTGACAACACAAACACTTTAAGCTTAACCAAAGTAAATGCATTTTTGAAACGAAAATACTAAATTAGTCCATGCCAGCAACGTTCCCGCCTTTTCTATAATCTGCATTACCATAGATAGCAGTTTTGTTTCTGTAGAGGCCGCATACAATGGACCCTCTACCCTCGTATCTTCTTAAAGCGTGACCTTTACGTCTCAGGCCTTTTAGTATATCCTGTAAAAAATTATTTTAAAGACGTTTTCTGTATTTTTATTAGATGAAGATTACATAAAGTTTACATTAAAAAATCGGGATAAACAAAATTGTGAAGTAGCAGCGAGCATGGGGCACAAACTGCTGCTGTTTCATTAATATTGTTTTTAACAACCTTCGGTGCCTATGATCCCAAAACAACTATTTTATCGCCGGGGATTTTATCTGTGGACAAGGAATATAATCTGGGACATACAGATTATATTGATTCTGTCATTTGATACTTAATTTAAATGGAACAGAAGATAATTAAAATATATAATTATAGACAAACAATTTCATAATTTTTTTGTTGAACTTACCACCGTAACACCATATTGATATGCCACCTCCATAGGGAAAATCTGATGGTGAATTCGAGGTGCATCAACTGCTTCTTTTATCGTTTGACCGAGCCAAAGTGTGCGGATCGCAACCTATAAAATATGTAGGTAAAACATTATAGATAATGTTGGTGTTTAACAAAGAATTAGCTAATTTTACGAGTACATTTTTTAATAACAAATAATATTTTAGACTAAGTTTTCGTTACAATAATTTAAAGTATCAAACATATTCTAGTCCTTGAAAGATAATACCAATATTAAAATTTCAAATATTTTTAGATCTGCACTTTCCCCAATAAGACTGAGCACAGACAATTACTTTAATTGTCTTTGGACTAAGTCAGTCAGAATCCAGACACAAAATAGCGAGTAAATTATTACCAAAGCAACAGAGGTGGTAATCTTAGTTCCACCAGAGGCGCCAATCACTATTTTTGCGTTACCACCTTGGTCCACAATAATACTTGGACACATGGAAGACAAAGGTCGCTTTCCAGGTTTTATAAAGTTGGCTGGTGACGGCTTAATGCCGAAGTAGTTGGTGATGCCTGGTGATGAGAAATCATCCATGACGTTGTTCATCAGTATACCTGTTCTGTTCGTTGTGAAGCCAGCACCATAACTGTGAAATGATTTCAGTAGTAAATTATGTGGCCATCATGTCTTCAGAGTATATCATTCCTAGAAGTATATCTACGATATATGAGTTAAACTAATAATGAACCAGTGGAGGTTCAACCGTTTAGGTTGGACCTCAGATGTTTTTTTGTTTTTTTTTATGTTACAGGAGGCAAACGGGCAGGAGGCTCACCCGATGTTAAGTGATACCGCCGCCGATGGACACTCGCACTGCCAGAAGGCTCGAAAACGCGCTGCTGGCCTTTTAAGAATTGGTACGCTCTTTTCTTCAAGGACCTTTAGTCGAATTGGTTCGGAAATACTTCAGTGGCCAGCTGGTTCCACATAGTAGTGGTGCGGGGCAGAAATTGCCTTAAGAAATGCTCAGTTGTTGAACGACGGACGTCAAGGTGATACGGATGGTATTTTGTATTCTGCCTTGACATCCGTCCGTTTCTGTTTCATGATCATTTATTATTTTTAATAGACAAGTATAGACATTCTCCTGTCTCTTATATAGGAGACTTCGACTTTTTCGTTACTTTATACTATTATACTCGCTTGTGCTACTGTACTGTAAGCGTGTATTAAATGCGCACATAGGAAAATTATTGATGCCGGAGTTCGCACATACGAACTCAGGTAATAAGAGTCGTACGCTGAAACCACTAGTCCAACATTGCTCATTGACAGCATATTAAGGTAATTTTAAATTATCATAAAATATAATTATTAGTTATCTATAGCAAAGGATAGAGCATTGTATTAGAATATAGATTAAGGAAGGTCGTTTAAAGATCGCGAACCCAGCTCGTTGTGGTGTGTGAGAAAGTTCCGCCTTCCTTTAAATAGATATAACATGACTCTAGGAACTATTTACTATATGACGCAGCCTCTACGATTTAATAAAAGTATAATCTATGATAATTTAGGCAAACCACTCATTGAAAGTTCTATGTTTCCTTCGCCCATAATTCAAAGGCATATATGGATGGATAAACGGAGATTAACAGTCATTGAACACGTATGAAAATTCATTTAAAATGTTAAAAGCATGAAGTCATGAAAATATATTTCACGGAAATAAACAACTGTGTCAGGGCCTAGTAGAAAAATGGTTTCCACTAACATAAAAACTATTTTGCTGCTAAATATCTTGATTTGGTTAGAGAATGTAATAATAGCAGTCCTTTACAAATGTGTGCGTTTCGTATGCTTCATTTACAAACCCGTATTACAAGAAAAGTTTTTTTTGGAAAGCCTATTTGCATGAAAATAAGGCAGAAATACCGCCAAATGGTACCAGATATTCCCGTTATTAAAATACTACTTACAAGTAATTGATGGAGCTTGTTAATGATACAGCGTCGCCATTATACCCAATGACGGAAATGTGAGCTGTTCCGGCATCATTTTTCTGATATTCCTCAGCGCCATAATGGGTTGTGCTGTTGCTGGTTATAGTATCGTTAACTAAGTTGCGGATTTCGGCGCCATATTCCGGAGACGTCACATTAGCTATAAGCTGGAAGTAAGATTTGCAGCTTATAATGACAAACCACTAAACTCTTTGCAGAAAGAGAAGAGAAGGGAAGAGAGAATAGAAAAAGAGAGAAGAGAATGAGAGAGGTTATGCCAACTCATATAATTCTGGTTTCATTATTCACAAAAATTACATATTTTAATTTTTTTCATAGTATATATTTAGATATAAAAATCTACTACTACAGTCTACAGCTATTGAACTATAATGACGTAATAGCTTAACAAAAAAAGTCAAGTAGCAATACTGCAACTACAACTCTCTTTTAGGTTTTCTTTGGTCTAAGGCTGTTAATAACTTATCTACTAGTCATAGTTTAATTTTATTCACTAATAACTATAACGATATATAGAAAAAAATTACCTCTGCCAAATTCAAAAAATCCATGTCCCCTAGTTTCGTTCTCGTTGAATAGGCGTATTTAAAAGCTTCTATTATTCTATGGTATGTTAGGACTGTACTATCTGTGCCATTAATACTTTCTGCGGTAAAATTGTATCCGCTCAAGATGTTCAGGATATTGACTAGAATCACACCACTGCTTGGCGGTGGTGGGGTGAAGAGGATGTCTCCTTGACTGAGTGGTACAGCGAGTGGTTCAATTATTTTTGCTCTGAAAAAACAAATAATAGGTTCTTCTCATAAAATTAAAGCTAACGATTGTTGTTGGATTTGTTAGTAGGAAATGTCAATGGGATGTAAACATTTCTTTGAATAAATTTGTAGTTTGAAAACCTGCTTTTCGGAATTAATTGTGTTATTAAAAATATATACTGCGTATTATGTTTTTAATGTGTTGTTTTTCTTCAAGATATCAATATGTTAGGTTTTAATACGACGTATTTAATGACGTTTTTGATACCATTATCACAAAAACTAATTACGGTGTATCGAGTTCAATATAAATGAATAATTGTTAGTGCATATAGATAGACCTTATCTTTTTATAGCTTTTGATGATTATGTCTGTCCTGGCATGATATATTAACAAAAAGAAAACAAATATAATTTGTAAGTGTCCATAGATCCAAATATCAGATTAAGTGAGATTGGCACAGTTTTTAATACCAAACACAATCATAGTCATAATCTGGTACTCAAAATTAAAAGCAGAAGATATATATTTAATTATTAATTATTTGTTTTTTAATAAATAATTAGCTGTGGTATTTTGACATTATGTGCAAGATACTGCTTGCTTACTACTACTTATAAACAGTTTACGTCAGTCAAAACTAATTAAAGTTTAAAAATACAATTAAGAATAAAATTTAATCTAGAATAGTCTGAGAAAAACTAAATAAACATTTCATCATCAATGAGTCATACTGTTTTTATGACTTTACGCTTATTCAGCTGCAAATTCCTATGTTTGTAAATATGACAATGTTGTGAAATTAATATTTCTATGATAAATTATTCATCCGTCACACGTCATATTCCTTTGCTTAATAATTGTGTCATTGGTATACACCACAAAGCATGAGATCCCGCCTCCCGGGTTTTAATTACAGTCTTTCGTTTAATTGTGATAGTCTCTAGTCCAACACGCGTAAGGGCGCGTAATAAAGAGTTTTAATGTATTATTATACATGTTTCTCTTATTATTATGCACTTATGTAATATACTGATTTGGAATGTTTTTTTTTCAGTATCTGTATATATCTAGCCATATTATATGATCCCTCAAGATGCCCTCTGGTCTACCTATATACAGCTGATTGGTGACATAATCAACTCCACGTTTCGTATTTCGTTTGACATGATTACTACTGATGTCGCGTGTATTTGATTAGATAATATTCAAATTAAAATGAAATGTAGCTCGCCTTATCTTTACATTCTTACCCCCAAGTTATTATATATATAATATATATATTATAGTAAAATTAAAAAATATTTAGTAATAAAAAATATTTTTTCGTTTATGGTTTAAATGTACTTAATAGAAAACTTTTGGTGTTTATGGTAAGTTAAAATGTAAGCTAAATTCTTTTTACATTACAAATGCGTTCATAACGTTAACATTCTTTTGCGATATTAAATACATTAAAATCGGTCATAAAAACCTACAATACTAAAGTTATTTTTAAGAATTTTCTAGATTTTCTCTATTTTCCATTTAATTGAGTGTAATTTAATAGCCAGCGTATTTTTTTTTTCCTTTATATTTTTTGTGGATTATTTAGTCTTACTTATATTGCCCAAAAGGCCAAAAACGTCAAAGGACTAATTATTATTCTGCTGTTGTAATCTGTAAAAATGCTTTATAAAACTCTCACTCATAGTTCTGAAGGTCCTCAGCTGTGATGATACTGCCAGCTTCCTTCAGATCCTCAAGGAAGTCCACAGAGAGGCTGCCATTGTACAGCTCATCTCCGCCTTTCTCAGCGATGACTTCCAAAGTTCTGCACCAGGCCTCGCTTGGCTTTACCACTGTGCCCGGCTTGTGGAACTGATTGTCCTTGTTCACATATGTCTTTCTGAAAATATATTGCATTGAAAGTATTTTATAAGTTAAGAAAGTAAGTTCATTTCAATAAATCTTGTGAGGAAAAACAGACTATTATCACAATTATTCTGCGCCGTTCACACGTGGCCATGGTAATGCTAGCTGCTAGGCGAAAGACCCCGACAGTATTCATATACTTAAAAAAAAATTAAGAGATTTTTTTAAAAATCAAAATCATATTTTCAATTATATCTCGTGGAGGCCACAAAATTCGAATTTTACATATCAATAAATATAAATGCAATTATTATTATACAATCATAAATTTTAGTTCTGACGATTATCCATATTTCCTTCGATATTCATTTTATTTGATATTTTGTTAAGCAGACATTTGATTTATTTCCGCCTGATCGAGTTATGAACTCAAGGTTTTCCTGTTTCCTGATGCGTGAAAACAGGTTTATGTAGATGTTACAGGAACTTATATTGATTCTTTTATATACTCTCAACAAACAAAAATAATTTTAAATACATATTTAGATAAGCTTGTTTTAGTTTGATCTTCCTACAATTCTATTGTTATTTTCCCCTTAGTATTTGTTTTTTATAAAAAGATCCCTTGTTAGCCTAAATATCTAAAATCGATGTATGTACGTCCTTTGAAGATAAAATACAATAGCAACCGAATTTCTAAAACTATATTACTGATATCGAAAATTACTTAAAATATTTATTAGTTCAAAATCACTGTTCTCTCTTTTAACGTCTTCATCGCGTTATATAATCGGTATCTAGATGTATAATAAAGTCGCCCTACCCATCAGACGTTTGAGTCTGTATACAAATACCATAAATCCAATGTTATATCTGGCTGGCAATAGTACCAAAAAAAGAAAAAAAAGAATCTAATCGAACTTAGTGTGGATTTAGTACAAAAACCTAATATTGAAATCGAATCCTCACTGTTCTATTTTAAACCCCACCCACTGCGATTCTAACTATAAAAATACATCAATAATGTTTAAAACATAAATGAAGATGTAGTTTAAAAACGCTGCAATAATTATGTAACACCCGGTCATTGACCCCAAATTAAAACTTGTATGGACTTATCTGTTTCAATCAATTTTTTGTCTCATTTCTTTAGCAAGTGATTGATCAATTCTACATGTCCATTAACCTCTAATATTATACTGTGAAAGTAATTTTAGTATGGACATGAGATGGGTTAGAAATTATATTATTTTTGTGCCAGAATAGCCTACAGAAAAGGCTTTAGTTGCCATCTCCATCTTGTATTATCACCCGACATTTGTACACATGTAAGAACCTACATTGTCTTCATTAGCCCCTAATTACTAAAGTAGTTTTAACGTGACGTGGATTAGAAATTTTGCCAATTTTATTCAAGAATAGAGAATAGAACGGAAATAACAGGCCTTAGTTGCCTTCTCCAACTTGAATTAGCAACAGGAAATTCCTAATTTTATAATTACTGTTTTTTTATATACTTTATTCAAATTATACGAATTACTATAAAATAAACATCTGAAATTCATCATGGTAATACATTCCAGTAAGTTCTGCCTTGTGAGTGAGGAGCTCTGAGGCTGTAAGTGTTGGACTCATAGTTCGCGTAATTCTCTTTTCTTTTCACACTTTGAAATCAATTTTCATTTTTTGCTATGCTTGCCTATACGTGCTTGTCTACATCTACACACTACACTGAATCTTGTGTTTTATTTTTCTTATGTACCAATATATGAGTGTGTCGTGCGTTTGCAAGCTTTTGTAAATATATAAATATATTTTCTGAATCTTACTCTTTCTTATGTGTAAGCTAACGGAGGAGCTAGCATTCGTGTTAGGAGAGGATGGTCACAAATTCAAATTTAAATTTTCATATATAATTCCGTTTTTATGCAAAATGCGTAAGTCACCGGAAGCCGCTTAGTAAGCCATTGTATTTTACATTTTAAAAAATTGTGACTAAGCGAAGTCCTATTCAGGCCCCAGGGACCCAACCCAGGCGTTAGTTGCCCAAATATAGTTGCATAATTCTTATAATTTCCCTCTGTTAATTAATAACTTGCGTTCAACTCTATAAACAAAACTAGATTTTAATGACACGTTTTTGAAAGTAAATTAAAATCTACAAATTATTTACTAAGTAGATCTATGCATCGTTGGTTATTAATTATGAAACGCGTTTCTCTAGTCAGCGATACGCTAAATTGTCGACAAACATTATTCGTATACTATTCTATTAGGTGTTAGCTTAGTATTCAATTTCACTGCTGTGTCTAAGCTAGGGCTAATATTCTAAGTAGAGGTCTAAAAGTGACGTCGGTGTAATAAATCTGTTAATATATTTTAAACATATGGGAGTCACACTTAGCAGACAGTCACGACTTACTATACCAAACACTTTGATACCAAATACAGCTAGTTCCATCTTTTATTTTTGACCACATAATTGACGGTACCTTAGTAAAAGAATGGTCAAGATAAATGTCCCTCATTAATTTGGCACTAACCATATCATCGTTGAACTGTCATGCCATTCTTTTCTTTAATAGGATAGGGGGCAAACAAGCCTACAGGACAACCAAAAAGGACAGTCATTGCAGCCTAAGGTCACCCATTTTAGTGGGTGCGTTGCCGGCCTTTGAGTCTGTAGTATACTCTTTTTAAACGATTGGAGGTCGTATTTCCCCGGGTAGACCTCCACCGGGAGTCGATTCCACAGTTCGATAGTTCGCAAAAGAAAATGACTTGTGAAGCCGATGATGGAAGGCTTCCAGCCATCAAGGTGATGCGGATTTCGTCTTCGTAAGTAGGATTTCGTTTTGCTTACCTTAAATGACGATCGTGTTTGACGTAAGAAGCACTTTCGAGGCCTTCGTAATTGGGACCGGTTATTTCGAAGCCGTATTTGCAGAACTCCAGTGTGGGTTTGATTAGATCTTTCCAAGGCAGATTTCCCCACCGCTGGTGCGCAACCCACATTCCACGTAACTCTCCCGGGACTCCAACTGCAAGGCCTCCTGTAACATGTCACACATACACACATTTCTATTTATTATTCGAGTCAAATATCAGCTGATTTCTATGAGTTGGACGATGAGGAAGGATAATATGTTTCTTCTCAAAAAAGATATGGGACAAAAACAAATGAATAATCAAAGGTAATATTATACATATGCAATAAATTTTCAAGAGTATGAATTATATAAGTACATCCACGTCATTTGGTCAGATTTAGCGCGGCGGGAGAAATAATGCGCAAATACTTTTAGAAGAAATACACCTAAAAAATACTTCTACGTTTTTAAACACTCTGGCCAATTTATTTATTCGGAACGAAAGCATCCATTTAATGTATATAACTGTATATCTTTTGCTTATATTTCAGGTTTTTTCCTCCTGACGTTTTTCAGTATTAAAGGTTTGCCTGAATGAGCACTAGCCCACAATTGTTTCTTGAATCACTGTGTATATTGTTTTTCAGTTCTTTCTGTTTCAAAGGTTTGAAGTACTAATAAATTACTTATAATAATAATGATTATGGAATTACTATTTCTTAGTACCATTAATAGACGGTTATTTATTATATAGATCTAGAAACATCGGCAAATCAAATAAAAAACAGTATTAACGGTTTTGTACTATATAATTTGATTGTGAGGTAAATTATAAGCTCTATGTCATAATGACAATGACAGAGTCCGAAAAAATGGGATGTAAGATAGAAGACACACCACCTTATATTTTGCTCATATTGGCGAAACTAAAGGACTATATGGAATGGGATTCCTTATCAAGAAATGTATAAAATACTCTCAACTTTATAGAATCTCTGAAAGAGTCACTTCTACAAATGAAGTTTGATTGCTTCTCTTTTCAATAATCCAACTTCCCACAAAAAATCAACAGAAAAGAAATTGAAAATTTTTACAAAGACATTGAATTTGCTCACACAAAGACAGAAGGGAAGGTCATTTCATGGGAGATTTCAACCGAAAATAGGATGTCCAAACAACTACTATCCAGTAATGGGAAAATATGGGTACGGAGTGCGGAATGATAAGGAACGCTCTTATTTTCTCATCAATACAAACTATCCATAATGAACTCATTTTTCAAAAAAAAGCAAGCTCTAGATGGACATGGTTATCACCCGACCACAAAACTAAAAATGAAATAGATTTTATTATGATACCCACAACAAACTTATAACTAATATTGAGGTACTTAACAAAGTTGAATTCTCTTCCGATCATAGATTAGTGAGACAACATTACTTTTGAGTAGTCCAGTAAGGCAAACCTATACAACACCAGCTAATATCCCCAAGACAGAAACAGAAATAAAGTCTCATCGAAATCTCACATACAGAAAATTAAAAACAACACATGATATTCAAACATACTACAATATCCTGGAAAAAGGCATAACAACTTAAATACAAACCAATATGTATCCCCACCAACACAATATCTTCTCAAAAGACACAATGAACTTTTAAAAAGCGCACAACTACTCCCAACAAAACTAAATATGAACAACTACATATACAGAGACTATATCAATCCGTAGGACTCCCCCAGATCGAATTATTACAGCATTAAACATTTTAGAAGTGCCAAAAACTCAAAAATTACTCCACAGTCCTGATTCGAAAACTTTCTCACTACAAAATCCAAAAAGATGTATATCCCTACTAACTTCTCAAAACTTATATAGTAACAAAATAACCCCAAATCTATCCACAACCCATCAACCGACAGATCACATCAACAAATTGAATACTCCGAAGTTTATGATCATATGAAAAAGCTGAAACCAAAAGTCCCACCAGACGGAATATGCAATGAGGCACTTAAAATAGACACCCATTTTAACATATCATTTTACGCATTTTCAATAAGATACTAGATGAAGAAAAGGTACCAAAACAGTGGTGTACATCGGATATAATCCTTCTCTTCAAGAAAGGAAATCCCTAATATAGGAATTACAGCCCATAATCTCTCAGTATTTATAAACTATTTTCATCCTAATCTTAAGAAATATCTGACGATATTGATAAGCACAACCAAAAGACGGCGGATCAGATCAGCTTCAGCACAATGGCCCTACGACATTAGAGCAGTCATAGAAAATACAGAGAACACATGACCTCTTATTGGCTTCATTGACTATAGCAAAGCTTTTGATAGCATTAGTCACTGTGCAATCTGGAACGCTTTACAATATTCAAATATCAACCAGAAATACATCAATGTTTTGAAATATATCTATACAAAAAGCACGACAAGTTAAATTAGAAACTGAGCGACGAAATAAACATAGAACGCGGAGTTAGACAAGGTGATCCTCTTTCCCCGAAGCTGTTTATAGCAGTCCTTGAAACTATCTTCCAAAAACTAACTGAAGAACCGGTGTACATACGGACATACTTAAACAATCTAGGTTCGCAGATGATATTGCTGTTATTGCTGAGACTCAAAAACTTAACGAAATATGAATCACTACTCAAAGTTCCAAAATCGGCCTTGAAATGAATGTAAATAAAACGAAGATACTCAACAATCGGGAGCCCAGATAGTGATAAAAGGTAATAATATAATACTCAGGCATCATATACTTGGGCAAACAAATTTCCTTCAAACTTCATCAAGAAGAAGTGACAAGATCAACACACTTGAAGAAATTCTGGGCACTAAAAGAAATCTTAAAAGGCAATTACACTCACACATGAAAAGGACAATATTTGATACATGCCTGTTACCTTGCTTCTGTATGGCTGCCAAACTTGGACCTTTACAAATAAAATAAAACAAAAATTAAAAGTAACCAAACAGCAATGGAAAGGAGTATGCTGAAAATTAGGAAATACACAAAATTAGGAGCGAAGAAATTCGTCAAAAACCAAATTAACTGATGCTCTCAGGCACCACTCTTACTCAAATGGAGATGGCTGACACATCTCACGATACCGAGACAGAAGATGGACCATTGAAACCACACGATGGAAAGGACCCATGGGGAAGAGAAATGTTGGTCGACAATTAAGACGGTGGGCTGATGATATAACACACGTCGCAGGAAACGACTGATACAAATAGGCAGAGACAGGGAGTCATGGAAAAGGATGGAGGAGGCCTTTACCCAACAGGGATCCAAACCTTGTACATAAATAATAATACTAACGGTAATTATAAGTAACCATTTTTAAATTTAAGCAATTAAGTAGTACTAACAACATTGTAAAACATAAGCAAGTTTTGGAATAAATGGCTTTATTATTATTATTATTATTATTATTATGTCATAATGACAATGACAGCTGACAGTAACGTCATTGCTCGGACATAATAAATTACTTTTAATAATAATAACTATGGAATCACCCTGGACTATCAAATAGTAGTAACATTGGCAAATCGAATGAACTACAAGTATTAACGGTTTAAAACGTTTGACTTTGACGATGTTAATTTATGAGCTCTGTGACATTATGATAATGGCAGTTGACAGTAGCGCCGTTGGTCAGACATAATATATATAATATCGAGAACACAACATTATAAATGCAACGAAATAAATATTAACTTGAAACATCTTTCCAGTTGTGAACAAGATTCCGTAACAAGTCTACTTATTCGAGGCAAGTCGTGGGCGCAAGCTTTAACCTGGAATAATATCGAGAACACAATATTAAAAGCTGCAATTATATCACCCTGTGTGCTGTATTTGCAAAGTTTCTCTTATGCTTTCTCTTCAAACTGGTTCACTGGAGACTTTTATTAGCATTTCATATTTCATTGAATCTTAATTTTGTATTATTGTGGCAATTCTGACAAATCAGTTAGTTAGGTTAGTCAAATTCAATACATTTTTGACACATAGGAGGTATCGAATCGACTCTAAGGATGAGGTTCAGAAAGGAGACTTAGCGCGAACTCCCGTGTGTTAAAATTTAACACGTTTTTGACATACAGTAGCCATACTTAGAGCTGAGTTTTGACTATAAACAATTCTTTCTATGAGCGAAAACATCCAAAGGCCGGCAACGCACTCGCGAGCCCTCTCATTCAGAGTATGGGCGGGGGTATCTCACCAGGAGATTAGGAGGAATTAACACCAAGAAAGCATCCTTCCCTTAAGCCCCTCTAATAAAAAAAATAGTAGTAAGTCACTAGCTATACAGTATTATTAATAAATAGACGCAGAAGCAATATTTTCACACTCCCTTTGGGGTTGCAAGTTTAAAACGTTTGACTCTGGCATTGAGAGTGTCCATGGGCGGCGGTATCACTTAACATCAGGTGAGCCTCCTGCCCGGTTGCCCCCTGTTCTATAAAAAAAAAGTGTTAAATATCCGTAAAATTAATGTACAATTTAAAACAATGTAGACGATCAATTTTAATTATAAACGGATATAAGGTAGCCTAAATCTCGGTCAACGCACTGTATTAATTGTTTCAATACATTTTTCTATTGTAAAGCGATTATTTATACAATTGTTGGGTGAACAATAAAATAATTTATATCTAACCTACATAGATTATTTCGCAATGCCAAAGATAATGTTCATGCTTACAATTTAATATTGTGGGTTATTTGTTATTTATGGTTCCATTTGCCAGGTGTAATTAATATGCCGATAACACTAATCGTCAAAAAAGGCGTCTCATACGTTTAGTTTAACTAAACATATTAATTAATTTTAAATTAAAATATGTTCTATTTCCTAACATTAGTCACACCTTTAGAAAATCGTTAGGTTTAATATTGCAGTATTAATTGATTCATAACATTTATCACACTTTTGATTTCGAATTTATGTGAAAGTACCCACAATTTTAGTGCTAGAAAACCTCCTACCCTCCTACTGTTTTACGATAGTGACCTACTCCACATTATTGTTCTGCATGCAAATTAATTTAGCAATTGTTTAAATGTAGAACACGAGAAAAAATAATTGATACTGACTGACAAAAAATACTATTAATCTAGTGAAAAAACAAAGAAATTCGTGTCACAGACTAGTTTAATTACTGTACCCGATGTATAAGTATGTTACCTCGTGCGATAGGTTATTTTGATAATGTATTGGCCTCGTTCCCGCGTGGCAACAGAAATAGAAATACTATCGACAAGTTGTTCAAATAGAGGAAAGGAAAAAACCTACTCATTAAAGTTTTGCTTCTTTCCAAGCTACAAATCTGCAATTCCTTTATCTAAGCCATTTTTTTGCATTTTTTTAGCAGTTTTATTTTGCACATTAACCATTACTATATAACTTATTTAAGAACGAACAAACAACTGATAGTAGTAAGACCCTCTACGTATTGTTAATATTTAATTTATTATATTATACCATCTTGGGTGTGGCGCGTTGGAACAAATGTACCTATTGTGTACAGCTTTATAAATGGAAACCCAACATATATCTATATTAACTATAAATTATTCGCACTGCTGAAAAATATAATATAGCCTACATTACTCTATACTATTTTAATGGTGAAAGAATTTATGAAATCAGTCTAGTATTTCTTGGGTTCATTCGCTACAAAGGTATAATACAAATCGTTTCTAATAATCTTCTAATCTTTATATATATAATTCTTCTGTGAGTGTGTATGTCACTGAACTTCTCTCAAACGACTGGACCGATTTTGATGAAATTTTTTGTGTGTGTTCAAGGGGATCTGGGAATGGTTTAGATTCACAAATCAGCCCGGCAGATGGCACTGCAGTCGGTACTTTCATACTTTGCTTAATATCCTAATCGCTTTAAATATCATGCAGGACAACGTCTGTGGGGTCCACTAGTATGTATATGAAATTCTCGTGTCACAATGTTCGTTCCCTTACTCTTCCCTTCTTATGAAATTTTTTATACATATTCAGTAAGTCTGAGAAGGGGTGTTTTTTGTTTTTATTTTTTTATGATACAGCATACAAAAATATACAACCCTTACTCCTTAGTTTTCACCCCTCTACGATTAACCCCTATTTTTATTATAATTATTTTTATTGAACTAAAAATACATGGCAAAACAACGTTTGCCGGGTCAGCTAGTATTAATATAGATTCCTCGATAAAGTATTAACCGCTTAGGAACGATAACGACCACTATTTAAGCCTTGACTAGTTTTATCTCGCGAAATATGCTTTAAAGGAGTATTAAGAATATGCATAGCGCTAAATAAGCAGCATCATGAGAACACCCAACAACCCACGACGATACCTTTCCGAGTTGATATGTGTGATGTGACCTTAATACTCTCAAAAATAGAGTTTTATCGCTTACCCAGGTTTGGCTGTATATAATTTAAGTTAGCTGTAGGAGTACGAAACAAATAAATTACAACAAAAATTATACACTTGAACTTGAGAAATGCATTTTTGGCCTATGCGGCCTTGGCGGATAAGTTAACGTACTTAATTCTCAGCACTTATCAGCCTACGGAATATAATGTTTCGAATTATTTAATATTCAGTAACAATACCTTTCTTAGCCTTATCAGCATTGCCATGGAACATGTCCGCTGTCGCAGCCGCTGGTGCCGTCTCTCGCGCGATCACCGTGTATGCCTTTTCCTCTTCCTTGATGTATACTGTCATGAAGAAACCTCCGCCCAGGCCCATACTTTGCTGGTTTTGTAGACCGTTGCAGAACATCGCTGCGACGGTTGCATCGACCGCTGAGCCGTTTATGGATAGGATGTGCCTGAAAGTTATTTTATACTAAGTTTCGGGAAAAACACTGAACCACTTTCGGGGAATGGTCTGTAGTCCCCCGCTAGCCCATACGTATTGGAGATTTCACATTCATCCATAAAACATAACATCTCTTGGGCAGGGGCCCTGTTGGGTCGAGGGCCCGAGGCATTTTGCCAACCCAATTGTGACGCCACTGTCTCGGGGTGTAATTCCGACGATTTAGGAAATCGCCACGTTTATAAAACTGAATCGGTAAATTCAAAAAAAAATTATCAACAATCTGGTTTCTTTTCAGGGAAAAAAAAAACTGTTTTCGCAGGGTTTTTTTTTTTTGGCCTTTTGGTTTTTTTTCCCCAATTTTTTTTTTTTTTTTTTTGGGGGGGCCCCCCTTTTTTTTTTTTTTTTCCCTTTTTTTTTTTTTTTTTTTTTTTTTTTTTTTTTTTTTTGGGGGGGTTTTTTTTTTCCCCTTTTTGGGGGGTATTTTTTTTTTTTTTTTTTTTTTTTTTTTCTTTTCCTTTTTTTTTTTTTTTTTTCCCCCCCCCCCCCCCCCTTTTTTTTCCCCCCCTTTTTTTTTTTTTTTTTTTTTTTTTTTTTTTTTTTTTTTTTTTTTTTTTTTTTTTTTTTGGGGGGGGGGGTTTTTTTTTTTTTTTTTTTTTTTTTTTTTTTTTTTTTTCCCCCCCCCCCCCCCCCCCCCCGGGGGGGTTTCTTCCCCCCCCCCCCCCCCCCCCCCCCCCCCCCCCCCCCCCCCCCCCCCCCCCCCCCCCCCCCCCCTTTTTTTTTTTTTTCTCCCCCCCCCCCCCCCCCCCCCCCCCCCCCCCCCCCCCCCCCCCCCCCCCCCCCTTTTTTTTTTTTTTTTTTTTTTTCCTTTTCAACTAAGAAAGCCTGAGTACACAAAATGCTGTGCTCGTACAATGTGTATATTTCAATAATATTTCATTTTCTTCAGCCTGCTTGCATTTGTTTTCAATTATTATATAATTTTTTGATTATTAATTATCGTCTAGTTTGCTATTATCATTGTTATTATCATTTTAAAAAAGGGTAACGTTAGGTATAAAATGAATTAATCGTTTATTATTTGTAATTATCTTAATGCACCTATTTATAAGTAGTCTGGTGATAGCAAAACAAAACAATAACAATGATAACGTTTGTTTTGTTTATAGAAATGTAATTGGTGATAAATTAATATTCTTTTGTTTTTTTTTTTATTTTCTATTTTTTAAAATTACCATTAAGCCATTTTGCTACAAAATAAATCGTATTATGTATAATAAAGTTATGAGCAGTGGCCTAGTGTCTTCAGCGTGCGACTCTCATTCCTGAGGTTGTATCGATCCCCGGCTGTGCACCAATGGAGTTTCTATGTGCGTATTTAATATTCGCTCGAACGGTGAAGGAAAACATCGTAAGAAACCGGCTTAGACCCAAAAAGTCGACGGCGTGTGTCAGGCACAGAAGTCTGATCACCTACTTGCCTATTAGATTGACAAACGACCATGAAACAGAATTTATTTTATTATTTTATAATTTAGTTACAGTAAAACTTACTTTTTTTAATTGAATTGAAATAAAAAAAAAGATTCGATAGTCGACCGTGACACGTCATAAAAAATTTTTGATGGGGTGGTTGCTTTTTTCAAAAAAAAGATTTATTTTATTATGTTTATATTTGTATAGTTATAGAATTAAATGACTTATTTTTTTAAATTGAATTATTCAATATGAACCCGACTCAAGCGAGGTAACGCCTCAGAGAGAGGAAACCCCCCCGAGGGGGAAAAAACCCCCCGGGTAAAGTTTTTTTTTGGGGGCCCCCCCCCCCCCAAAAAAAAAAAAAAGGTTACCAAAAAAAATTAACTGTCTTCAAATACCTGTCAACAGTATTCACCTACTGTGTTAAACATGTCCCTAAAATGCCTATATGTTTATCTCAAGACTACTGATCTTTTTGTGATATCATGAAACTTAGTCTTTACTCCTAACTCGGAACCTGATATAAATTGAAAGTTGAATATGATTTCTAATGCCCGTTTGTGGACAAACATACACTTACTAAATAAATATTCAAATATAATACGATTCCAACAACATCATGTTTATAGTAAAGACTGATAACCTCTTTTTTGGAGTCGGTTAAAAATAGATACAGTTTTCAAAGTATTAGGTAGGTATTAAAAACTTAAGTAGGTTTAAGTGAAGAACTACATTCTTATAAGTACTGAAACGTTTTGTATAAGGTTTCATCAGCACGTGTACTAAATTTTGACGACTCATTGGTTTGGTGGTGGATACCCCTCCCTGAAAACCCTTGGCCCCGGGGTTCCCCCCCCCCCAAAAAAAAAAAAATTTTGTTTTGGTTTTTTTTTTTTTTTTTGGTTTGTGTAAATATGTATTTAAATGTCTTTCTTTCTTTAACATTATGTATATCAGGTAACAAGCTTCACAGAGCATGGGACGTAATTGGTGTGAATTGTCTTTAAAAAAAAAAAATATATATAAATATATACATTATTTTTATTTTTGTCTATGATATGGGTTTGTTCCACAGATTACCATATGCTTCGATCTGTGCCTAGCTATCATACCATTCTTAGCCGGCGTTCCTTCTTATTCTATTTTTCTCCATCTCTTGTTTCCTAATTCGTCGGGTAGGTCCTTAATGAAAATTAATGAATTGGTAAAATATGCTAAGTTTACACTAATGTATAGACAAATGCTAATCAACTTTTCAACACAAGGGTATCCATTATTTATATTGGTTAAATAACTAAAACTAGGTTTCTAAATTGGCTGTCGCAGTTCAATTAATAAGTAATATTAGAGATAGTTATATCAGCAAAGATAGAAAAAATAAATAAATATGCATCCATAATAAATATAAGTATCATATTCACTATTATTGTGTCTTATGTCAAAATTCCTAAGCACAATGGCACTGGCATAAAACGTATACTTGAATGTTTTTGTAACTGTAATGAATTTTTTTTAAAGTAAAATAACTTTTGTTTAGAGCAAGGTATGGCGGTCTGATGTAGCAAAGAGTATATACACATTTGCACAATCTATCCATAAATTTTCCAACTAAACATTTGAATCGTAAGCATTTTTCTCTGAAGCCTTTTAAGCGGAATATGAAAACCCCACGATAGGTTTAAAAATTGGACGTGTATTTTTATTTTAGTCCTCTGCTCTCGTAACTTATGCTACTGCCTGTATAATATAAGAATTTACTATTCTTAAGATATCACGTGATTACAGTACCTTTTTTATTGGGGAATTCATTATTACAGTTCCCGTTGGGGCCTTAAAAAGTGACGCGGGTGGGACGGGAGGTGCAATAGATTCCTATTCACTAAAACCAGTGGCGTAACTATACCATCTTGGGTCCTCTTGGGTCGGGGGCCCGTGGCATTTTGCCAACCCTGCCACCCTATTGTAACGCCACTGACTAAAACCCAACGACCTCATCTGCTCTTTATAGACGGAACAGTACAGTCCGTACTTAAGGAAACAATAATTAATATTAATTCATGTTTAAAATTAGGTAGGTATCTTTATATCTATAAGTACTGCAATTTATAAAAGGAGTTTACCTTTTTATATCCTAAAAATGTATAAATATATGTTAATAATTTTCTGAATAGAAAAATGTATTTTTTTGTGTATTCATTGTAAACTTTAAGGGTTAAATTAAAGTTACCTGCCAATAGTCTATACTGTTACAGTAAACACAATGGAGTCCAGTAGTACGTGAAGTGGAACATGGGACATAAGCATTCTTGAACGGTAAATTAATGTAGGTAATGCATTATTTTCATTCCCAGGCTCTCAGCTGTACCTAGCATTTGTTAATGTGACGGACGTGGACCAGTAGGTAAACGAATTCAATAATAATAGCTCATACAGGTTAGTTGGTATTACCTCCTAATTTATATGCGTTACATACGTAATAATTTACTAAATTTAGAAATAATACCCAGAAACAAGTTGGTATTCTCTATATATTGTTAGAAAGGTATTGACAAGTTTTTATTGTCGCAATTATAAGATAAAATGCGCGAGGTCGTCGTGTATACTTCAAGGTTATTTTTGTATGTAAACAGCTAGTGCGTACTGCGTAGGTCGATCGACCTCGCGTCACGTCCAAAACAAAAACAAAGGTAATAATACAACGGAATAAATTAAAACGTTTATTAGACATACTTTGCAGTCGCGTTTGTATCGAAACGATTTAATAACATTATCTAGCTAGAAATAATAACACAGCAAATTTGAGCTCTATAACAAGCCCAGGGAGATCAGTCGTTGGAACGATGTTGTGTGCCTTTATGGCCGCCATCTTACGGCTGCATTGTAATATGCAAAATAAATGTATTGAGAAAGCATTGTCCTCCAAGAGTGTCCCACTGATCCCGTCGACGAGCCCCCTGACCCAGGGAATCGTCGTAAAATCAATCTCCTTTCGTTCGGCAGTTCTGTATACCTTTTCCAAGCCATAGTCGTTGGTCAAATCTTGAAAACATCTAGTGTTTGTTCGTTGACTTTTTATTGTTTTCTGTGTTAATGAGTTTCGTCACGATCTTTCTGGAATGACCGGACGGATCGAAGTGGTTCGTGTGCTCGCTCACCTCCTTCTTTGTCCTTTGTTTGCCGCTGTGTCCAGAGAAAATGTGCTTGTCGTGATCAAAGTTGTAGTAGTCGTACTCATCAAAGAATGCTTCCGACATATTTTAAAATGATTTTTCACTTAATTCACAAGGTATCGCCGCTGACAATGTCACTGTAGATTTTGCTTCACAAAATGTCTGACTTTGAGACCTGCGCGTCGCTTATATACGGTACTGAAGACACGTCACTGACCGCATGCGCGTCGGTAAATCTCGAATGCTATTGGTTGGACTAATACGCCGGTTCCACACAAACGTAAATGATCGCACTTGTGTTTGTAAGCCGGTTAATGATACCACAAAAAAAAAATACGTTTTACCATAATGTTAAAATTATAATATTAGTGCTCGATATACAGTTTTATAATGTACAACTGGCTTAAATGTTGATTTAAATTTAAAGAGATGAATATTTTGAAATCACTTATAGTGACAATTAGTTGATTTATTTCTAAAAAAAAATATTAAATAATACAACACACTTTTTTACGAGAATTCGGGAATTTGTTTGAAGGTGGCAATACTATAAGTGACGTTAGCGGCTCTGCTGCCATGCTGCTGTTATATATAATATAATACGCAGTTGTGTGCGTATGTGTTGCACAACAAAGTAAAAACAATAATATTTAGAAACGTGACTTTTAATTTAATAAGTCATACTTTTTAAAATCGTGAATTGGATTTAATATGATATTGATAAGGGAAAAAGTCAGGCACACGAGAATTTAGAAAGAAATTAAATAGGTAATTTAACTGATTCCGGATTTGAAGAATAGGTTGTTACCTAATCTTAGTTACACTAATTATATTGGTACTAGGTAACCCTCTTATGTGATTGTGCCAGTTATTGTTTAGTATCAAGGCGAACGCATTTTTGTTACATATCCAAAGATATATTATAACAGCGATTACTATTTTTACTTTTGTTTACACAAAAGCGACATCTTGTGGTGAGTAGATTTTACATTGTAATACTTCAATGTCACAAAGGTTTATAATTGCACTTCTAGTAATTTCTAATCCATTCATAAAAAAACGGTTATTTAAAAGAACTAAGGTAAGAAATTTATTTTACCTGTCTCCAATTTCAATGTATTTTTATCCGCTTAGTCTTCGATTTCAAGTTGCAAGTTAAGACCTCTTTTACTGAGTCATTAAATAGGTTTAAAAAGTGCGTTTTCCAATTACAGAGCATAATGCGACTCAGTGCCGCACAATGCCGCATTATGCTGAAGCTAATTGGAATAATTAGTTTTCAAATCATCAGCAGAGTGCGCTAAGTCAGTTTGAGAAAAATGTTCTGAATAGAGTTACAACCTCATTAATTTAAATAATTGTAAAAATAATAATTGGTTGAAAATATTTACGCTTATTTTAAGTACTTTGGATTTTGATTATTTCATTAAATTTTTTATGAAATAAGAGAAAACTTTAAAGAATATAAGGTGTTAACAAGTAAATTAAAGTAAAATATTTAGTTTCATGTAAGAAGTTTAATCATTTACGTTTTGAGTATTTTTTTAAATAATTTCTAAAAAAATTATATACTTTTTCAAAACCATTGCAATGTTTACAAAAGTATAATCCTGTAAAATAAATTTGTTTACGTATATTTTTTTTATATTTATATATTTTATATATTTTAAATGTGGAATATAAAAAAGTAACTATTTATACCTTCATATACTTATATTTTTTTTTAAGTTTGAAATAACTTTAATTATTTTCAAAATCTACACGAAACGAAAGCCCTACAAATTTTTCAACAATAAATAATATTTACTAATGAAAATTTCGATCAATGCTAACTTAAAGAAAAACCTGGTCAATTTTCTTCACTTGGTATTGATTGCGAGAACGCGAGAGCATTACTTTTGAGAGTGCTCAATTGTGCGAAGCGTTGCTGTAGTTGGAACATTCAACGTTGAGCATTATGCCGCATAATGCTCTAGTGCTGTAATTGGAAAACGCACAAACTTACCTCCCAATATCGGAACATGTTGGAGAATCTGTGCAGACAGCCGCTCTCTTGAATGTATGAAGCCATGATGATGAAGGCGGGAAGGGCTCAACAGGATCCACGAGTTCGGGTATCGTATCTCTTTTGTAATCAAATTTAGCGACGAAATAACCACCCAAAGCTGATAAAATGACAAGGACTAGCAATCCGGCGATGGTCACTTTAGTCTTTAGCTTGGCCGATCTGAAAAGAGAAGTGTGATTAGCGCCCTCTAGTGTTATAATTTTTTTCGTCAGTGAGAAATGATGCAAAATTACTTTGTAATATTCTAGACAAAGTAATGTTTCATTTGATAGCTATTCATTAACAGATGGCGCTGCAATAAGTAAAATTACTACTTGTACATTTTTAGAAAAAGCCCCGACGAAACAATTATTCATGGTAGAAGCCTCTAAATATAAGAAATTAGACAACTTTTAAATGACATTATAAAAACATATTTATTAAATATAACTAAAACAAGTTCACAATTCATAACCTGTTACGGTCAAGTTAAAATATTTAAAATTTTCTGGCTATTTCATATAATATAAAAACCTGGATTGAAGATTGGAAATTATCTTAGGCGTACTAAAATTTTATCCCAATGCGCAGTATCCGTAATTCAGTGAAAAAATCAGCTAGTTGGTAGTTATCAAATTCTTATGAGCCAAACTAACTTACACGAAAAAGTGCACATTGTTGTTTCTAAAATTCCCTTGCAATATAGCAAATCTATTAACAGGTGAAACAAGTCGAATGGGATCATCGATTGCTATGTCATCAATAGGAGCACTTAGGAAATTTCGTCTATAAAGCCCACTCCGAAATGTTTGCTCCATTTTTATTACATTTTAACACAATCACCAAAATGTTTCACTCTAACACCAGGATGAGACATTAATTATGAGGAAATTATGTCCATTTGGAATGTAATCAAAAGGTAAGAGGATGTTTTGAGGTAGTAAACGCCGTGAACTTGTTCCTATTTTTGCTAATCAATAGTAAAAAACAGCTGTTCATACTGGTTAAGAGCTTCATATTTCTTACAATAGATGGTGCCATTCGTTGAGCTTTAATTCTAGAGAAAGTATTTACTAAAATATTTCTTTTTATTTCAGTGAATGTTTTTAAAAATATTCAAGTGCAATTTCTTATAAAGCGCCTGATGTACACTATGTTTTACTAAATTGAAGTACCATTTGCTATTATTTCTCATAAGGCGTTTTAATTGCTTGTCTTCACAATAGATGTCAGAATTTTAGGAAAAATACTAGAAAGAGATGAATATTTCAATGCTTCATACTACGGGTGTAACTTCTTAGTAAGTGTTAACGTTTTACGAGCTTGAATTTTAATTATTTTCTGTTCCTCATTCATCAAATCTAAAACTGTTTTAAGACAGTAAATACACATAATAGGCCTGTAATATATATTACTGAATTCGTATTTTAAAGATTAATATGGAAAACTTTGGTACTGCTAAGATCTATAATATTGTGGAAAATAGGTGAACAGTTCCTCCAGCCTAAAGGGAGGCTCCCCTCGATTACTGAATAATTAATTACTGACTGTCCAGTCCGAAGGCCGCTTTACCAAAATAAAAAAAAACAAAATCATTTATTCATATTGGTAACACACATGTACACTTATGAACGACAAAAAATAAATATATTAAATGTTCCTTATTTTACTGCCAGTTCTCAAATCAAAGTAGAACGGAAGAGAAGAACTGGCAATAAACTCTCAGTCACTCTTTTTAATCGCCGAGTTTTTTGTTTTACACAATGTTTGTGTCTGCAACCATTTCACCATGTTCCACATGACATCTTAAGTAATTAATAGTTAAAATTAAAAACAAAGATTTGTCCTCTATAAAAACAAAGATGGTCGTACTCTACATTCTCGGGGGAACAGCAAGGTGAAGGTAAATCTTTTGTAAAACGTTACGATGCGGGGCGGGGATTGAATTACGCGTTATTGTCAATATTATTTCGACAGTAGGTACTTTACACCACATAATGGTAACTTTTAGGTATAAAGAGTCACTAGGTGGTCACGAAACGTTTTACTATACTTGGGTACAGAAAAACGTTACGGCGCGTTACATGGGGGGGTTCCAATAATCTCCAAAAATTGCGTGACGTAATACTTGAACGCTCCCCAAGGTCCAGAAGTTGCCGGAATAACTTTGTAAGTGCGTTTCAGGGTATGACGTCATCGCTGTGATTGTAGCCGTAGAAGGAAAATGATGATGAACTCTTTGTAACAATTTATTTACATCCTAAACTACATTAAAAAGTCCGGGAAACAAACAACTATCTAGAGTTGACTCACTATAACCTTTTTTATCGCAATCAAATTTGTTTTACATTATTTTCAAAGCTGTTATTATAAACATTATAATATAATGTCTTATCACATATATGTAAATTTTATTAAAATTGCTCATTACAGCATTTCAATGCAATAATAATCTTAGGCGATATCATTGTTTTAAAATAACTGCCGAACAATGTGATGGGCATGTACGACACCCGCATTAATAACGTACACAGGGGGTTTAAGTTGCCTTAACAGTACTGTATGTAGAAATTCGAAAACTTAATTTGTATGACACAGTTCGTCTCGACAAATTTTCATACATATTTAGTTTTCGACTTTCTACATACACTACTGTCAAGGCATCTTGACTAAACCCTCTGGTCTTAAGCTACGGTTTCCCAGAAAAGCGGTGCCGTTATTTAACGGCCGTAATGTAACTTTGGGTGACGTCACCCATACGTTGTCTATAAATAACATCGGAGTAGGTTTTCTAGAGAACGTTGAGTGTCACCGTAACGTCAAATAGCGGTGCTGTCATTTGCATGACGGCCGTCATAGCGGTGATAAACAGTAGTTCAACGTTTTTCGCGTGTAGCGGTGCGCATATTTAATTAATACAATGACTTGCACGAGCGAAAATGATGAACAATTAATTGATTTTGTTAAAAATCATGAAGCTTTGTACAATATTAATTCCAAAGAGTACAGACAAGGTCAGATGTAGCAAAATTTGTGAAACAACTCTCGTCCATTTCGTCTTTTTTTCGTCCTTTAATGACTCTTCATCATCCAAAAATACTAATAATGCTATTTCCAAATCGTCCATTTTGCACCAGTGCACGACCTACGCTCGAGTGAGTACTGAGTGACTACGATTGAATACAGTCGCACTACTTTCTAGGAAACCACAGCTTGGCCACCGTAAAGACGGCCGTTATTAACAACCGTAAAATGACGGCCGTTAGTTAACGGCACCGCTTTTCTGGGAAACCGTTGCTGTATTCTAGAATAAATCAAACTAAAATCTAGTTTTATAAGCTGTCAAACCATTTTTTCTAAGTTTGACATTTGATAGCGCTCTAGACGAGAACAAAACCGCTTAGAATTAAACCTTTAATTAATAAACCGCGAGGAACAGCTAGTAACTACTATAATCTATTATGCCAACATAAATGCCCATCAAACTCATTAGACATTTGATTATGCCGACCTAAATTACGGGATATCTACGATCGTTCAACAATTCGCTACACAAGACCTTCATTGTTTTATAATCAACTATTCAATATTATAGGAATGCTAAATCAAAGGGTTATTTAGTACGCGCTGCCCGAGCGCGTACTGAATACGCGTCATATTCAGAATTAAAATGTGAAGTCGCCTTTATTGTGTTATACAAATTATATATTGAATGGGAATAATCAGTAATTTACTACAAATATCTACAGGCCATGAATATGTTCGTGTGGAAATAATATGTCATATGAAAATGAATATAGCCAAAACACTGAAAGTTGTGTCGACGACAGCAACTAAATGCGGAGTTGGGACGATTTTCAGTTAAAGTAATATTTTTGTGTGTGTGAAGTAGTTAAGTTTAAGTGCCATTTTATTTATTACACCAAATAAAAATATAAATTGAATTTTGTTTCTTTATTTGTTTCAAAATATACATTCCACTACTACGTCCATTTGAAAACTCGAAGACGGCTGGACTAATTTTAAAAACCGAGTAATATTTTTTTATTTGTACCTTGAACTCTAAAGAAAGTGTACGAGCCAAGGCTGTACACATGTACATGCTTACTCAGGCTTTCTTAGTTTTATAAGCGTGGCAATTTCCTTAATAGTCGGAGTTACGCCTCGAGAGTAAAGCCAGACGCAGGCACTCTCATCGACTGTTACATTTCATTCATTCGTTACATAGCAATTAACATTAAATTATTTCACTTATATTCTATTGTTGTACGCGATGGTTTAATTTAGGGAAAGGCCGGGTTGTTCCCCCCTTTTTCTTTTTTTTTTTTTTTTTTTTTTTTTATATGAATTTTTTTTTTTTTTTTTTCCTCCTTTTTTTTTTCTTTTTTTTTTTTTCTTTTTTTTTTTCTTTTTTTTCAACAATTTTTTTTTATTTTTTTTTTTTTTTTCCTCCCCCCCCCCCCCGGTGGGGGGGGGTGGGGGCCCGTGGGGGGGGGGGGGCCCGGCGGGGGGGGGGTTTCGGGGGTTTTTTCCCGCGTTTTTTTGGTTATTTTGGTAATTAATGTAGTACAAACAAAAATCTTTATTATTTATTAGACTTATGACTTTAAATGAGATATTTTATTAAGTACAATTTGAATTTTTAAAAAGGTTTTTTTTTTTTTACACAGTAATTTTTTCTCCTTTTTCACCGGAGTACTGATTTAACTGCTTTAGCACCTTTCTTAGTACTTTAGATTTTATTATTGAGTGGACACCCTTCATCCTTTAAATATTTTATCTGGCTTATCCAGAGAATTATTCTCAGTTAAAATAGTTGTCAAGAGTTTGAAAAAAATTTGCAACTTCTGTTCTGTTGAGACCCTTCGCTCTTTCAATTGATAAACCTCACTGTCTCAAAGTTATATCAGGATTTTAGCCATTGAGGTCCAGCCATTTTACTCTCATTAATAAAGTTGTGTTCTAATCCCAACTTTGTCTCTTTTTTTTGGGGGGGGGGTTGGTAACCTCTCTTCTTTTTGGGGGTTTTTTTTTTTTTTTAAAAAAAATAAAAAATTTTGGGGGTATTTTTTTTTTTTTTTTCACAAAAAAAGGGGGAAAAAAAAAAATCCAAAAACCAACAAAAAAAAAAAAAAAAAATCTTTCCTTCTTTTTTTTTTGGTTTTTTTTTTTTGGGGGGGGGGGGCGCCCGGGGGGGGGGGGGGTTCCCCCCTTTTTTTCCCTTTTTTTCCCCCCTTTTTTTTTTTTTTTTTTTAAAAAAAAAAAAAAAAAAAAAAAAAAAAAAAAAAAAAAACAAAAAAAAAAAAAAAAAAAAAAAAAAAAAAAAAAAACCCAAACAAAAAAAAAAAAAAAAAAAAAAAAAAACCCAAAAAAAACCCCCCCCCCCCCCCCCCCCCCCCCCCCCCCCCCCCGCCCCCCCCCCCCCCCCCCCCCCCCCCCCCCCGGCCCGGCCCGCGGGGCCTTGGGGGCGGGGGGGCCCCCTTTCCCCCTTTCCTTCCTTCTTTTTTTTTTTTTTTTTTTTTTTTTTTTTTTTTTCCCCCCCCCCCCCCCCCCCCCCCCCCCCCCCCCCCCCCCCCCCCCCAACCCCCCCCCCCCCCCCCCCCCCCCCCCCCCCCCCCCCCCCCCCTTTTTTCCCCCCCCCCCCCCTTTTTTTTTTTTTTTCCCCCCCCCCCCCCCCCCCCCCCCCCCCCCCCCCCCCCCCCCCCCCCCCCCCCCCCCCCCCCCCCCCCCCCCCCCCCCCCCCCCCCCCCCCCCCCCCCCCCCCCCCCCCCCCCCCCCCCCCCCCCCCCCCCCCTCCCCCCCCCCCTTCTTTTTTTTT